GAGAAAAAGGACTGGCTAAAATGGAAGAAGTCTCCCACTGGACTGTCAGCTCCCTGAGGGCAGCAAACAATCTTCCTTGAAAAAAACTGATAGCTCTAGACTTAGGCCTCTCCTACCTGACACTCAAACACAGGCTCGCGATATATTTTATATCACACAAAGCCGAGTCACACAAAAATATTACTATTTTAGCTGAGCATGGTGGCGCACACCTGTAGGCCCAGAACTCTGAACCGCAAGTTCGAGGCCAGCCTCGGCAATTCAGTGATTTAGTGAGACTTTGGCTCACAATAAAAAGGGCTGGGGATGTGGTGTAACGCTAAGGTCCTGGATTCAATCCACAGTAATGCCAAAAAAAAAAAGTATTTTAACAATACGGTTTAGTTGTAATATTAAAATGAAAGACAAGTGCTTCAGACCGAGCGCCTATGTGATAAGCATCTCGAAGTCACACTAATAATAAGGGAGCAGGAGCCTGTGAATGTCAACAGGGATTGTCCTGAGGAAGGTTCCGCTGGACTGGATGGATTCGAACCCAGAACTTCCCGCCAAGGACGCCGAGAAGCGCCTCCAGGTGGAGCTGGCCCGCGCCCCAGGCCCCGACCCAACCGCGGGCTGGGCGCGCGCTCGCCGGCCTCTCCTCTTCGCAGGGGTCAGGCGCGGGGAGGCCGTGGCCGCCAGCTCAGGAAACACTGACAGCTCGCTCGCAGCCGCCACCCCGAAAGGACTCGGCCGCACCCCCTCCGCTCCCGCCCGGCCCAGCGCGCCCCAGCCCGCGCCGCGCCTCACCGGGTCGGAGCTGGAGGCCGCCGTCGCGGCGGCTGCACCACAGCGCGCGCTCGCCCTGCTGCAGGATGTAGTGGTCCTTGGCTTGGAAGAGCTCCATGCCGGCCCCGCGCGCCGAGGGAGGACGCGGCCCCGGGCCCGGGAGGCGGCAGGAGCCCCGGGAGCGTCTCCTCAGCAGCGGCCGCGGAGCCTGCGCCCCGGGAGTGGCCTGGGACGGACCGCGCCGGGAAGCTCGGCCGAAAAACACCTCGGGCCCCACCCGCCCGGGGAGAACGCGCCCAGCCAGCGGCCAGGGCCGTGAAGGCCTCTCCCCCAGCTCCGCCCCTTCCCGGCTCCACCCGGCTCCGCCCCCTCCAGGCTCCGCCTCCAGTCCACCGGCCCCACCCCTCCTTGGCTCCTCCCCGAGTTCCTCCGGGCTCCTCCTCCGGCTCCTCCCCGACGCTCCGGCTCCGCCTCGTCCTCTTCCACTGCCCTCTTTCTGTTGCCAGCTCCTTCCCCGGGCTTTTCTTGATCCCTGTTCTTCCGACCCCGCTCCTCCCAGGCCCCGCCTCCAGCAGGGCCGCCTTCCCTCCCAAGGCGACCTCGGCGACCTCAGCCACCTGAGCGTAGCTGAGTCTGGCTGGAATATCTATCTGCCCGCCTTCCTCCACGCAGCCTTTGGGACAGACACTCAAACGGGGTCCACCCTGCTAACGCTGGCGGGTTACTCATGCCTTCCCAAAAAAAGTCAGGCTAAGTTCCTGGATCTAGCCCAACACCCGCGCCTTTCCCTGGATCATTTCCCGAGGGCCTGAGCTCACGCAGAGCCCAGCCGAGCCGGTGAGCGGAGAAGCACAGAAGCACGGCCCACCCGGCTGGCTGCGAGATCCCAGCTCCAGCCCCGCTCTCCGCGGAGCAGAGGCATCTTCTCTTTTGGCATTTCTTATTTTGACAACAGCAGTCAATCGATAAACGCAGAGGAGCATACAACAATAGAAAATACACAAGTGTTGGCACAGGGCTAAATAGTGAAGAAAAGGTGCAGGTGCCACCGTGTCCCAAGTTAAGCAGGACTGGTCTGAGAATACTCCATACAGGAAATGAAATGGAAGGGATGTAGTTTGGCGAGGGTAAGATGGCCCGGTGGTGTCTTGAACTGAATGCCTTTGGGGAGTAAGGCGTCCAGTTTCAGATCCAGCTCAGGGTCTGTCCAGCTGTGCGATCTCAGGGAAGTCTTGGTCTCAGCTGGTGGCTGTGCTTTAATTACACACCCAGGCCTCTACATCAATGTCTTTCTCCCATCTCCTGCTTTCTCCAATGCCTTATAAGGAAATTTAAAAACACAAGGGGTAGAAGATAAGAAAGGAAAGGTAATACTTTTAACCTACTTAAATAAAAAAAGAGAGGGCCCTGAAGCGGAAGGGGTTGCACATTACCAATTATTCCCGCTCACACTGATTTCATTGTTTAATTTCCATAGCACAACAAGGGCCATGACTATAAGGTCTCGGAATCCTTGTCCGTAGTATTGTGGCTGCTAGGCTGCCCAGACATCTTAACACAAATGTCAAGGTATCACCAGCCGGCAGGTCCTTACTTCCATGCTCACGGAAACGGAGGCATTCAGTGTGAATTTACAGGAAAAGCTTTAACTGGAAAGTGAGAGGAGATGGAGGGGAAGGGGGGAATGGCTTGACAAAGGTCAAGGGGGCACAGATCTGGAGAGATGGATCAGACAGGCTCATTCCCAAAAGAGGCCGGGTGCTTTGTGCTGAGGTGGGTTTGGGTCTGGTTAATCACTATCTTGGGCCTGGATTTGCAGCTCTCCTGTGATCATTCTGGCTCAAAGACCGTTGTGGCTTCAGTTTCCATTAGATGATTGCTCTTCCTTGGCACAGTCTCGGTCTTGGGAGGCTCTGCTGGAATCCAGGGTAACCCTAGGTTTAGGGGATTGGAGACTTTTAGGCAGAGGTGAGTATCCACATAAATCTCTGCATCCTGCTGTCTTCACTATCCAAGGGGGAGGAGATAGCCTTGGTAAATGTAGGGCTAATAAGCTTAGTTTTGCCAACTTTTTCTAAATGATTAACACACCTATATCCAAAGGTTTAAAGTAATAAATGAAGATAAAGCTTTGTTTTTCTTTTAGTTACCTATTGGTTATCTTTAGGCCCAAGCAAAGAGTCGCTCATCTTAGCAAAAACCTTAAGTCCCTGACCACCTCAGAAGAAAATACAAATCATGCTTTTAATGAGTAACAAGCCAAGGGCCCAGGAATTTGTCCTCTGTCCCTATGGTGGGGTCTAACTATGTCAAAGAGAATTGTGATTACAATATCAAATATTTGTGATATGAGCTGTGAGTGCTGGCACATACCTGTAATCCCAGCTAATTCAGAAAGGAAGTAGGAGGCTCACAAGTTCAAGGCCAGCCTGGACTACATAGTGAGACTCTGTCTCAGTCTCCCCTACACACATATACACATACAAATCATCAGTTTCTGACTTATTGGTGATTTCAGCCATATGTTGACTTTTCTTAGTAAAAATGAGTGAGTAATGAGAAAGTCCTACAAAGACGGTATGCCCTGCAAATTATCATTCCTTTTTAATGATTCATATTGCCAGATATGAAGAAAACAATGCTGTTTAAACACTGATTAGTTGATTAGAACTTTTCCTAATGTTTAAATCAGTAGTTCGACCCTGGCTACCTATTAGAATCACCTGGGGGATTTTTCAGACATGACAGTGCTTGGGCAAGGCATGTTAATATGTGCCTGTAATTCCAGCTACCAGGAAGCTTGAAGCAGGAGGACTGCAAATTCGAGGGCAGCCTGGGCAATTAAATGAGACCCTGTCTCAAAATTTAAAAGGACTGAGGATATAGCTCAGTGGTAGAGCCCTTGCTTACATATGAGGCCCAGGCTTCAATCTCCAGTATCATAAAAAACAAACAAAAACCAGTGCTTGGACTTCTGACCAATTAAACAGAATTTCATCTGGGTAGGATGTTGGCTTTGGTATCTTTTTCTGAGAAAAATCTGCAAGGCAGCAGCTTGGGAAAAAAACGGCAGTTTTCTATGTGATGCTGGTGACCAAAATCCAGAGTTAACAAGTAGAATCCTTAGGAAAGAGGAAAATGTGGTGTGAAGATGCTCCTATTATCTGTCTGATCCAAATCCATTCTGCTGTCACTCAGGCTTCAAATGCAAGCTCAGTTTTGGGGCATGCAAAGCCCCAGCCTGGCTGAGCAGAGTGAGTGAAAAAGGAAAATGCTTTGTTCCAGGTACAGGTCACCTAACCATGCTCCTGCCACAGCAGCCTTGCCTTGCTCCTGCGTTGGACTTTTTGAACCTTGTACCCTGCAGTTTCACTTCCTGGCTGGCCTCTCCAACCTTGGCCTCTAGCCAAGTGCCCACTTTCATCAAATTCTTCCAGCTTTCTAACTCAAGGTCTCCCTCTCCTAGTGAATTGTAATGCAAAGTTTATGTGATGCTGTTCTATTTTTAAAACATGGATCACCATTGTACTTACTATTTATCTTTTATATGCATGCTATATCTATACTGATTTAAGTATGTTCACCGAGGAGTTAGGTTCTAGCCGGTTCTGTGTGACCTTGGTCAAGCCACGTAATCTCTTTTAGTCTGATTCCTTATTAAAAGAGATGACAGGGCTAGGAGTGTAACTCAGTGGCAGAGCACTTACATACCGCCCTGGAGGACCTGGGTTCAATTCCCAACACCACCAGGAAGGGCAGGGGTGGGATCCCTAAGAGTACTTTCATCACTGGTATCACTGAATGTGAGTAAATGTGTCTGCATAGTTAATGCTGTAGAAATAATCAATATCACATGTTTTGTTTTTATTTTTGAAATGCTGGGGATTAAACCCAGTGCTTCATGCATGCCAGACCGCACTACTACTTGTCGAGTAAAAGGGCCGAAGACCAAGACCAGACCAGGCCACAGCAAGCCTTTATTAGGGGAATAGATCTGC